TCGTCAGAGAGACAAGTAAAGTCAATCCCTCGACAACCGTTCTGCTGGAAACGGTTACACTATCACTCCTTTTTATGCCATTGTCTATCTATCTACACTTTACTCTTTAATCCCACTACCGTCCTATCACAACTTCTCATTTCAATCATCCAAATGTGTGCCTTTTGTGGCAAACCTAGTGTGGCCTCATCTCACTTACCCTTTACCCCTACCCCTCTCTTTCGATGGGCTTATCCCACTCGGGCCTCCAATCCGGATACTTTCATTGTCTTTCTGGTTGACCAATTTCACTCGGATCCAGTCTCTGTGTGCCTTTCACTCCTGGCGCTATTTCCCAAGGCCCTAGAAGCACATACACTGCCGCTTCACTGAGCGGAGCGCTTAAGCTCTGAATCCCATGCTTGCAGATATTAGCCCTTCCCTACACTGTTCATCTCCTTGATTAAACAACTGTTGTTTCAGCAAAATATGGACACCTATATCTAGTAGCATGCGGCATCTCAAGTGGATTTCTAGTGCATTTTCTCCACAACCCCTAATTCTTATGACGGTGTGCTTATCCGTCTGCCCCGCTCCCTAACTGTCAGTCCTTCAAAGTTGTACTGGTTTATTCAAATGGCCATCACCCACTGACAACGTCTTCGCTTAATTGTCGAAAGAGTACTAGATAGAACAATGACAGAAAGAGGAGTGATAGTGTAACCGTTTCCAGCAGAACGGTTGTCGAGGGATTGACTTTACTTGTCTTTGGATGATTGAAATGAGAAGTTGTGATAGGACGGCAGTGGTATAAGAGGGTAAAGAGTAGATAGATAGACAATACAGAAAGAGGAGTGATAGTGTAACCGTTTCCAGCAGAACGGTTGTCGAGAGATTGACTTCACTTGTCTCTGTCTTGTCTCTTTGACGAGTTCGTATCTTGGTGCGGAGAATGGCAAGGCTCACTGATGATGCCGACTACGAGACCGGCGAAACGTATGAGAATGTATCAAGTCCACTGTCAGATGCTGGGAATCAAGACAACTACTATTGCAGACGACTTCGGACT